CGATCGATCGTTTTAATGATGATCATGTATTAAAATAGTGAGTGAGTGGGAAGCGGAGGACCTCACTTGCTCACTCACTCTATCTGATATCTTGATCCTAATTCTAATTCTAATTCCGAGTTTTCATGCGTCAGTCGGGCTTGGGTTAGGTTGAGTTGAGTATTTTTTTTTGAGTACATATATTCTATTATTTTAGAGATGATCCTCTCTCTCTCCTCCTTGGTCGGAAATTTCATATTTTTCATGTTGTAATCTTAACATAACAAACAAAAACGAAAACACACACACACAACTCTTCGCCATAATTTTCGACAAAGTTGAGCGGATCTGGATCCTTTTATTAATATTTTATTTTTATAGTTAAAAAGATTCTCGGAGGACTTCCTTTGATGTGCAATAAACGAGAAATAGTAATCCCCAACGATATGAAAAACGCCCGGTCTGCAGTTTTTTTTAATCTGAATTTACAGTGCGCACTGCGCAATGAGTGAGGAATTGGGGCTATGTTAATTCATTCCCCCCGTGGAAAGTATCTGTCTGTCTAAATTTGGATTTTACTACAGAAGAAGATTTTTTATTATTATTTCTTCTTTCTTTTTCATACTAACTTAATACTCTTGCGGGGTAGAGTAGATAAGAGAGGGAATAAAAAAGTGTGTTTTGAAGTTCCGAAGTTTCTCGGCATCTGAAATACTATGATTTGACTTTTCGCTTAAACAGGCGACGTGATACCGGGTATTGTTTACTTCAGGTTGAGACGCTGTTGCCCTTGTGATTTTGAAGATTGGAATGAGGTGATGATTAAGAAGAAAATTACTGGGAATTTATTTCTAATATTTTATGGCTTGAGAGAGATCCTTTGCTTGGCTGGGTATGGACAGATGAGGGGTGAATTTGCGCGCGCGGGGAGGAGGGGGCTAGGGAAAGTAGCGGGAAAAAACGATCTTGCCGTAGATACAAGCTCGTCCTAAAGCCCCCATAAAGGACTCGTGGGCATTGATTTCATTAAGCTATTTGATTAGCTAAAGAAAAGTACGGTGAGCTAATCCCGGCCTTTGCGCGAAATCTACAGTCGATACAAATCCCCGAAGTCCTTGTATCCCAAATCCTTGACAAAAGTCTGCAACCACGGACCCTGAGTCTGCGCCTCTGCAAGCTCCGAGAAGATTTTCCCATGTGCATCTCCATCAACCCTATATTTAGCCGAGCCGTCCGCCTTCCTTTCATCGACATAATAGAACCTACAAACTGTAAGTCTTCGCACCAAAATAACCAAGAACGCTAGGGGAGGCTTACTTGTATCCTTTGTCTTTGTATGCAGCAGCAGCAGAAGCTATGATGTGTGCGGAAGCCGACTTGGCAGCGCCCTGGCTCACAAAGCCAGGGAGGACTTTGAGATTCAGGATATTCCCCGTGAAGAAGAACGATCTTGCTGCACTGGAAGGAAGTTCCGCAAAGCCGAGGACTGCTTGTTGGGCAGCGACAAAAGCACTGGTGGTATTAATGGCCATATCCCTATTGAAGCCCGCCAATGGAATCGCGAAAGGATCATTAGGAGGAGATGAGGTCAACGAGCCGGCTGCGCATCGTCAACATTTGTTCGGTTAGAGCCGTTCAGTGCGATGGCTTACCGTTGTAAACAACTACGCTTGGGACACCAAGTGCCTTTCTCACTTTCGTGAAAGCGCTGACGACATCTTCGGGGTTGGAGAAGTCGCTTGTGATGTTTAGCTGATCGTCTGTGCTGTCTTCTTCCTTCAGTGATCGGGATGCGAGGGCGACTTTGTAGCCTTTCGAGGCGAAAGTTCGAGCGACTGCCTGGCCAATATTCGGCCCTGCGCCGAGAATGAGGATAACTGGTGATGTGCCGGGCATGATTTGAGCAGTATCAATAGATGGAGATCATAGGTATGTTTGCCGTCAAAATTCAAACAAGAAACTGCTTGCTTTATAGATGTTGACAGTGCTGTATGTCAATTCTAGGCGGTGAGGATTCTGCCGCATTGTTTATAATCAACGTTGAGATCCGCCGTATCGGGGGGCTCGTAGGCAGAACAACTCACATTCACCGGACTTTATGAAGATGGATGATTTATAATAGCATGCGTGACTACAGTGTATTTCTCACTTATGACGTGTATACAGTCTCTCGTATTGACGTGTTCCTGATGCACCCAAGTGATACTTTCTGGCGCTCTCAACTTCGATGGAACAAGACTGCGTGAGAGTTTTCCATTCGAACTTGAGCGTGATATGAAGAAGGGTTTCTCTTTCTATATTTTTGGAATTAGATGAGGCATGAATTAAAAATCTCTTTCTGCTTGTTAGGCCTGAACTCGCAGGCTTTTGGTGGCCTGAAGAATCTCATCTCGCTTTCGCTTATAAATTATCAAGAGCACGAAGCACGCTGATTGGCTGTCTTAGCAATGATACACGAGAGAGCATATTAGAGGCTAGGCTGGACGAGCTACCGTCTAGGGTATACAACTAAACACCGAAAGTGTGGGGTACAGAATATGGATGAATGAATAATCACAACCAGAAGCTCGACTGATGAAGAAGTGATGTGCAACAGTACAAGTGTACAGCAGAATGAATTACCAATCAATGATGCTTGCCGTGATAACTATTTAAGAGACCAAGGTATCTATCCAAAAGTCACAAACACCCCTTAGACCAGATTCAATCACAGAGCTTTGGAGATTCCTCCGGTGAGATGCAATTGAGGTAGTCGGGCTGAGATGAACCATGAATATAGTTTTAACGAAATCGATCGATCTCTATTCTATATATGATGTTAAGTAGCTCTAGAGATTACAAATCCCATATCTATTTTCCTATTGATATTTACTCTACTGATATCTGCTTACGTCGTCGTGGAAGCTCTCGAAGCTACATGATATCTTCAGGGGCTAGAATGCTGCCTTGCCCAACTCCTCTCCTCGATCTGCAGCCGCCTTCACGGCCTTGGTGACTATTTCCTTTAAGCTTGATTCCCGGAAGCTATTCAAAGTAGTCTTAGTTGTTTCTTTAGGACTAGTGACGTTGACACGTAGTTGTCTAGGAGACTCTGGGGGTTCAACTAGTATTCTACTAGTACTAAGATAGGGTTGCTTAGCAAGTCGCTCGGCCTAATCTCGTGGCATTCTTAGGGCAGTTGTACTAGAGACTATATGCTCAACGAGGAGAAAGAAGTAAGCTGGTCCTGATCTTGTCCAATTATGTTAGTTCTTAGGTATAGTTTATATATGTAATAGCACAAAAAACATACCCGAAAGTGTAGTGACAACATCGATAACTCCTCCTTATCTACCCACTTTGAGACCTTCCCAAACCCTTCTAACATTAAAGTCACCAGCTTCTTCTCGTCCTCAGAGACTCTAGCACCAGCAAACGACCCCGAAGTACCCTCGCCTAGTAACGTAGGTGTGTTCAGCATCACGCGGACTACCTTAAGAGCTCGTCCATTAGTAATAGTAAACTATTACGTCAAAGCGTCCAAAGGAATTCAAGCATAAATAGACACAATAAGTGGTAATTGCTACTTTCCTGCCTCTCGCCACGAGGATACTAGATCTTCACACACACTTTTTACGACTTGAGGCTTAATAGTTAAAACAAGGACGTTAGCAGCTTGTTTAGTTTCGCTGTTGGACGTAGTAGTGCGCACGCCGAGTGTTTCTTCGACCTTCTTCCGAGTCCCTTCGAATAGGTCTGAGACGATAATGTTTTGCTTCGATGTGCTTCCTTTAGCGAGCAGCCCTCCGATGATCGCAAAGCCTATATTGCCCCCACTAATGAAGCAGAACTTATAGTCTTAAATCTAAGGAATAGCCATCTTTAAATACGAGGCACAATTTGCGTGTAAGAGGAGTGCTTTTAAAGAAGCAATATTGGTCTGAAAGCAGGTTCTGTTGGGGCGTAGTAATAAGGTAATGTACCTAGGTATTTCGACGTAAGTGGTGATATTTTTTTGGGCAAAAATTAGTGCCTCACGTGATCAATTCTAACTTGAGCAACTAAGGTGCGTTAAGTAAGGGCGAGAAGTGAACACGCTTATTATCAGAGGCAAATTTAATGTGCAGAGGACGGTCAAGTTAACAGTCAAAGACCGATAGTCTCTTTTAAATCTTCGGGAATGAGCGATTAAGCAGCATAATAATATCTCGGCAATGAACTCGACTTGGCAGCTTCCTTGAAGGTACTTTCCCGACGAAAGAGCGTCAGGACGATATCGGGACATTATCCTCGTTGGTCATGGCCTCCGTTCTGATCTTCTAGTCCTTCGCAGGAGGGGTACCATATTCGACGAAATTGGAACTGTCGCTGGTATCCTCGACACCTCATACGTGGCCAGGAGGTCCTAGGGATAAATTTTCGGCTCGACACTCTGCTGAGATTTCTGCGTTGTCCCATGAAGAATATTCACAACGCTGGGAACGATGCAAACTACGCCTTGCGAGAAATGCTGATGTTGGCTTACTACGGTCTACGATCGTGCTGTTCATCCCCCAAGTCCATCCGCATACTGGCGGGCTTTAAGTCGCTGACCTTGGAGCCACTTCCGGAAACTACTCGGAGGAATGCTCTCTACAGAGCTTTGAAACCCCGATGCGAAGATTTCATCCTTGCCGCTCTCAAAGACGATGGAATTGATCTCTTTGACGACTTTTGAACAGTATGACTGAAGGATGCGCAGAGAAGTCCCCGAATAGCTGGCGAAGATTCGAAACAACTCTGCAAGGAATCTTCAAGTCAAGGCCAGATTGTAACTGCTTATGCTCTTCAACCATGAGTCTAGGACTAAGGCAGTAGTGGTAGCACCATGCTCATAAGCTACCTTAGTGGAAGGCTTTCGGCGCCAAGCAACGCTCCTTCCCAACAGAGAACATCCCAAGCTCTCCGCGACAAAAGCAAGAACGGCAACAGCAAAAACAGTGACGACAGTGATGGTAATATACATCCAGATAACAGTTCTCATTCCAATATCCCAGAGCAGAGGCACCTTAACAGAGTGGTTAACGTGTCTGCCTCCAATCCTTCGGGGGAGGTAGCAGCATCGGGCGCGCGAGTTCGAATCTCGCAGGTGCCGCTCATTCCCTTTTTGATTTTTCAGTTTATATCTCTTCAACCTTGATTGAACACCCACACAATTCTGATGAGCCTCGAGGATTAATGTTTTGTTTTTTGTCTTTTGTTTTGTGCCATTCTCCGGTGTTGTGCGGACACGACGGGATGAGAATCTCTCGCAAATGCGGAAGGAAGCAAGTGGTGCCTTCCTCAAGTTGCTTCAAAAAGTTCAAGCGTGGGGAGACAATCCCGAACCTAGCCCTCAAGAAGACCTCCTGAGGCATTGTCATAGCAGTTTGTAGAACAATACAAAGTATAGGATAGCAGATCTTAAGGGCTCGAAACTGAGCTCAGGCATCTTTACAACTTTCCTGTCAAGTTGCTAATCTTGTCACCGCCACGCTGGCATCACTGATTATTGGAGGAAAATAAAATTGATGCAATGAAACATTGGCAAAAACATACATCTTTTCTTTGCACATAACTCGTATCCGGTATCCGACGTACCAATGTAACACTGAGAAACAGCTGCAGGACCTTCCATTCCAAGATCAAAATATAAAGCGAATGAGAGAAGACATAAGAGCATTGGTATACGGCCCCTTTTTTTATTGTGTCCTGGAGCATTGCACACCTTCACGTACCAGTCAGGTCCTATGGTAGTGGATACGAGATAGAGAGCAAAATAAGAGGTTCGAGTCTAGTGTAAACAGTATGCATGCTCTATCGCATGTAATATACATTCTTTCATACGGAATGGTATCAACGGATCGTCCACAGTCGTAAGTTTTCAGTCGATGATACGCTATACTATCTGTTCCAGTCAAATCTCATCTGTATAAACTTGATTTCGGTATGGCAAAGCTGCCAACCCACAGGAATTCCACGAACGTCCCCCCTTTTCCTCAGTTCAGACTCCTGGAATAACCGAGGAACGTAGCCACTGAACTGTTCGCTTGGGTCTCCTTGGTCTATCAACAAACAACAGGGGTGGAAATTGGAGTGGCAAACGAGTTGAGGTGTGTGCTTACGGCGTATAACTGGATACCAGAATAAGTCCCGTCCCCGAAAGCTTCTGAAGCGCAAGTCTTCGCATGCGCGTATGACCAACTGCCGGGAGGACATTCGAATGGGCTTAATCCTGGCAACGAACTTCGTATTCGTATATATCGCGACCCAGAACTCGGGATGGAGTATCATCCGATGATGCCAATAGCTCCAAGATCGATTTAAATGCCTTGGCTGTAATCTTCACGGCGATTGGGTATAAGTGATCGCCTCAAAATGCTGAGACAATGAATATGAAGGTGGTACTGCTCAGATGTGTAAAGTGAAGATCGGACCCCCTGTGCTTTGTCTAACTGCATTTCACATTAGCTTCAGCCACATCGTATTCTGCTGGGTAGCCACTTGCACGCCCTCCTGAATTTTAGAATTACCCCACTTCGCCATACTTTACAGTTCGGATGAGCTAGATCCGGCTTCCGAACAGAATGACAGGATTTTGAGCCGTCATTAACGAATACTGTAACCACTTTTCTACTGCAGTACAAAGTAACAGTCACTGAAGTTCCTGCAGTCTAACGTATGCGCCTCGAAATATTCATCCATCACATATCATTATCATGAAGGCAAAGTACCTTGACGATGCAAGTGTTCGCGTCTTACAGCAAACCTCCCCAACTACCGAGCATCTCGTGCGATTCGCTCGCGTTTCGTACCTATTAGCATTCTTGCCTCTGAACCTCCTCTTGGTCGGCGCCGATGTCCTCTTTGGCACAACACATTACGGTCTCCGCAACTGGAGCTGGAAAACTCGCACTCTTCAGTTCCTCATCGCCAATGTGATATGGGCCCTCAATCCCGGGGTGAGGCCAGTCATGGATGTCTTATCGAAGAAAGCCCGATCTAGCGCAGGAAGCCTCAAACCAGATCAAGGTGCTCATCGAGCATCGTACGTCGAAGTCCCGCCGCGTCCTGACAAGTTACTTGGAGATGCAATTCATCCTGCAGTCGCTCCCGAGGCGGTGTCGTGTTTTTGGCAATGGTTGGAAAGCATGCCATCTCCTCTCGATACTGTGTCTCTGGAGGACAAGGTAAAGCAGAAAGTCATGATGTATTTCGTTGGCGGTGCAATGATTCAAGGTCACCCGATCCAGTCGCCTTTGCCGTACAATCTCATGCCCACAACTTCCATTCCAATCTTCGGGGTCAATTTCAGAAAGGCCATTACCCCAGAGACAGCGTTTCCAGCAGCACTTCATGACGCAGTTGCAGCATTTTACTATCTGCTCGATCAAGGCTACTCGGCGAAGAATATCTGTATCATGGGAGACTCCGGGGGTGCAGGGATCGTGATCACGGTACTCCTCTATCTTCGACGCCATGAGCTTGACTTGCCTGGCTCCTCAGCTTTGTTATCACCATTCGTAGATCTCGTCGATGATTTCTCCGATGATCCGCAGAAGCTGAAATACGACATTTTGAACCCCGAAATTCTGAGCAGCGCGGCCTACCTGTACACGCAGAACAGACCAGAGCTAAGATTCACGTTACTTTCTCCTGCGAGGAACGATCTGCCTGAAGGGTATACCTTCGTTGGTCTTCCTAAGATGATTGTTGATTACGGAGATACAGAGATTTTTGCTCCTGGAATTAGAAATTTTGTTGCGCAAGTCAAGAAATCCGGGGTTCAGCTTGAAGTTATCGAGGCTCAAGACAAGATTCATTGTTATTCATACGATGTGGGAGACGGAATTGCAAGCGGTATTTATGGAAAGCTCGCGTCGTGTTTGGATGCCGATTAGGACACTTGATGGGCCGGAATGCTGTCGAGCAGGGGGAGTCAATGATTATGAAGTCAACCCGCAATGCTCCCACCAGTCTTTGGCTTTACAATTTCGAGTGGCTTAAGGATTTTCAATACCTGGTAAGTAGCGACACCGTGCATTTAGGTAAGCATAATATTTTCCGACTGGTGATTTTTTTTGAGTTTGAATTGCCTTCTTAGAGTAAGTTTAAGTCAAGAAGTATTCTAAAATTCTTTCACGTCGCACTGAATCACGGAACAAAACACGCTGGGGATCGTTTATCATACTGCCGTAGTTTCTCCTGGCGAGGGGATGATGTTGCGTGGCGAGGTAAGTTATATCCTTTATTTAGGCCGAGTTGTTTGCCAAAAACACATCAAATTCTCAAATCAAGCTCGGACTCATAGCCGCTCAGTATGCTGCAAGCAAGTATGTTCGTGGGGATAATACACCTACTTATGCAAAGGGGTACTTGGATGCAATGGAAATGTATCCTGGCTTGAAACCCATTAGTTCAAGGAATTCTTGGTGGATTTGGGAAATGGTAAAGTGCCCAGACCATATGCCGGGGGGTTGCCTATGCAGATATATCTTAGATGCCGTTACATGGACCGCTAGAAGCTTTTACGTTTGGTAGCATTATTTCTTAGTCTAATGAAAGTACTAAATTTTGAGACGTAAGAACGTTTTTGGATGATAATACACCCCTTAAGTCTTAACCAGCTCCACACACAGTTGCTCAAAAGTAAGGAGTAAACGAAAGTTTTCTGGGGATAAACATTCCCAATGGTCACAGCAACCTGGCGAGGGTGTGGAATTTTGTACTCATGAGCATGTTACGACTGCCTGGCTGGTAGAGAAGAAGAAACCGAGTACTTAACAATTCCCCGTTTCACCTGAGCTACCCCTGAATTAAGCGAGACGAATCCACATCAGGACAACCAATCCAATACCACTCACTGTTCACCCTTCTTGAAAGAAACCTTAGCCTCAAATCTCGAAATTTGAGTTGAAGTAAGATCCCTTAGAATTGCTCATTCTGGGCAAATCCACTGTACTTGTGGGCGGGACAATACTGTACGGCATTTTTGGTCTCCGATGTGGCATGCTAGCGGCGCTAGCTAGGCTAGCTTCTCTTAAATTTATGCCGATATTGGATATATCATCTCAATAACAAGCCAGATTATCCGATTTCGTGCCTGACTTTTGTCGAAAATGTTACCTCTCGATTGGCAGTGTGAAAACTACGATGAGACCCATCGTGCTACTTGCTTTTCTTGCATCGCAGAGAAATCATCAAGGAGACATGAGATGGGGGGTTGCTGTCTCGAAGTATCATAAGATAATCAAGATAAAATGTTAAATTCACGACCACGAGGAAAATTTAATGGAACAAAATGACGAAATCCAATTGACCCATTGCCGACAAACACCTAAACGAAAACTTTTGCAACATTGACAAGGTCACATAGAACCAACCGATGAAAAGAAGCGATCCGATCCCTCAGTATCCAATCTAGAGAGGATTTCCATTGTGATCCTCCTTTGTTCCAAAGGGGGATCTGACGCGAGCCCAAGACTTTCCATCAGCAGTCATCATCTCCACCTTGAACTTCTCCAGGAAGTCATCGAATTGCTTCCAATTTAGCATCTTCAACACCGCAGCTCGTCGTTGTCGTTCATCGCCAGACTCCATTGCATCTTCGAACGAATCAGATACTTTGAACTGCATGAACTCTGCAATAGCCCAAGCTTGTTCCCGGCTCAAATCCTTTTGATCTTTTCGGACCAATAGGACACTGCCAACCTCGCTTTGCCATTCTGGCGGGGCAAATCCCCACAAATCGGAGATCTTGGGGTCGACAGTGAGGTTGAGGAAAGTTGCAGGTTGGTTGTCGAATCGGGTGTGATCATTGGGTTTCCAAGAGGGGTTATGTGGCTGTTTTTGTACGAGGAGCGGAAGTCCCATGATCTTGGACGCACTCGTTGGCTGCGAATCCCATATGGCATGATCCTTCGGAACTTCCACTTTAGAGTATCTCTCCCATCTACTAGTCTTCTTCTTGTTGATACCAATATCCCCTTCGCATCTAATAAGGACGCCCTTGACCTTTCTGCACTTCTCCTTTGCTGCATCTGCTTCCATCAGCTTGTCCATCATGATCTGCGGCTCAGATACCGGGTTGTTTGTTTTTTCCGTGAATGTGAGATG